TGGCGGGGGGGTCGGCGGTCGGTTCACCACTTCCTCGTAGGGAGGTAGTAAATAATTTGGCAAAAACCCTAGAAGTGGGAGGCAAGGAGGAGAAGTTACTTCATGAACAGCTTATCTCAGGAAACAAGTCATCAGTACAGGTCAGTACATCCTTTGTCATCTACCAGCACCTCCCCACTAAGCAGCTCAACGGGCTTCACAAAGGGTGCCAAAACTTGGCCCAAATGAGATGGGTCATGTTTTCAAGAGGCTGCAACTGTGGCACAGGAAGGCGCTGTCATAGGAGGAGATGGACACAGCTGGGAACAGCAGCCTGATCTTACGGCTCTCAAGTCTATTCTTAAGGTACCAGGTGAACCTCCCATCACCACCCTGTACCCTAACGCAGCCTCACTAGCCACACCAAGGGATGGCCTGTGTTGGCCGGAGAGAACAGCCTCAGAGAGAACTCACCAGCGCTCTCCAACACTGGCTTCTTGGCCAAGTTTCCGCTTTCAAGGCCCACGATTTCACCTCACAAAGCTTTATGCAAATATGAAGAGACATAAGCAGTAACAAGGAACATGGGATCCTAGCTTTTGGTTGGTGTTTAGGGCTGCATTCAGTCTTCCTGGCATGGTCAGAATAAACTGGCAGTACAGGTAAGGGAGTTTGGTTTACTGCGGTTACAGCTCCTCAAATCTATGAAAGATTTTGCTTATTTCTTAAGAGGCAACAAAGGAATCTGCACAGACAGAATGAACTCATATACTGGAAATATTTAAAGATAGCACTGCCGTTTTCCACGTGTAATTGCATAAACCTGTGTCTGGGGAGGAAAAGGTTGCTGGGGATTATTTCTGAGGTGGCTGTAAAAGGTTAACAAGCAAAGCAAGTTCATACATGAAACTCAACAAGTCCACGTCAGGAGACTCAGTTGTGGTACCTCCAGCCAAAAGGCTGAGACTTGCTGTTCTAGCACAGTGTAGAAGGGCAGAAAGGAGAGCACAAAACAACTGTACTCTCCCTGAGCCATGGGCAACAGCTCCTTTGTGCAAAGTCCTGGGGCTGCTCACCCACAGCGTGCTCCGGGAACCACAGCACAGAGTGTGAGCCCACACGGACCCTGCTGAGGCACCACTTCCACCCAGTCTGTGTGACTGAATTTTGTGAAGCCACTTCTCACATCTCAGTCCCACCAGCATCCAAGTGCAGGCTGGAAAGCAGGAGCATCCATAAAGTCCTCAACGAGGTATTTTAAGAACCTTCCCCTGAGAAACACCCAGGGAATCACTGCACCCAGAGAGCCGAATTGAGGGTGTGAAGGTGCCGGAGCTGGTGTGGTTCAGCTCTAGACTCAAGGAGGCTCAAATGCATACAGCAGCTGTAACATGCCACCTCCTCTCTATGAGGCAGCGAGGCTGCCCACCACCTCTTGTGGAGCCCTGCCACTGCTCCCTGCTTCCACCTGATGCAGGCCACTCGCTGCTGCCCCGCTCCCCACAATGCCCCGGAAAGACGGGGTGAGATACGTACGGAAATAGAAGGGCAGGGCTGAATAGTTATGGGCTTCCCGGTAAGCAATCAGGTTGATCTCGTGCTGCCGCTGCTGGGCTTGCAGACGGTGCTTGGTGCGTCGGTGATGGCAAACGCAACAGCAGCTGAGGATGATGATGATGGTCCACACCAGCCAAAACCCTGCAGTGGGAGAGAGCGCGTTAGCCACAGCGTGAGAGCCACATCCAAACCCAGGAAATGTCACGAAGGTGACGGAGAAAATCCTCGGAACGCCTGGCTCTGAACCCCACGCTGCTCTGACGCGGGCAGACGCCGCACTGGGAGGCTCTGACACGGCCCTGCCTGCGTGGGGGACCGCCGCTCTGGCAGCCTTGACAGAAACAGGTAACTCTGTACACCCTCTGGTACAACGTGGAGCATGCCCAACAGGTACAGCTCTGGAGGAGAATGAAACATGGAGACAGGGCTAAGCTCCCCCCCTCTCACCCCTTGGATAAAATTTCTTCTAGCAAAAAATTTGAGCGAAGCTGTGAAAAACATTGAACTCATCTCTCACAGCCACTTTGGTTTGAAAATAACAATCAAGACAAAAAAAGACACTCTGCAGATTGACCACAGAAGAAGAGAAAAACCCCAAGCACTATGTTTTGCTTTTGTTTGCACTGCTCTTTAATTTCCAGCCCAGATCATTCATTGTTATGTTTAACAAAAACATACTCTTTTTATGTAAATTTCTCAAAATATTTTTAAAACTTATTTTTGTATTCAATGTCTTAAATTATTCAAAATTAAATTAAGCTAGACCCCCACCCTGAATCCTCAAGAAACCTAACTTCTGCTCTGTTTGTGGTCATGGCTGGTTTCTGTGCACTTTTGTACCGTACGTACACTGTTCCTTAAAAGGGAATTTTAAAAGAGCACTTCCCAAATTTTCTCCACTCCCTCCAACATGTGGAATAACTCTCCCTTTCCTCAAATCCCCCTTCACGCTTGCATGCACTAGAAAAATGTTTCCGAGATGCGCTTGGAAGAGCTATAACATTCACTCCAGATCAGGTTTTTGTCTCTTGCAAGCACAGCCCACAGCTCTACCTGCCTCAGAGATGTTAGTCAACTCCCATCTTTTTTGAGCTCAGTTTTTGCAGCCCAGGATACCAGGAGAACTCCCTCTTTAGGACATGTAGGCCTTGCAACTGCTCCTCAGCAGAGATCACAACACTGTTTTTCTTCCAATAGGACATCTGCCACTCTTCATTATTCCCAAACAGCCAAAATGAAGACTCCCAGTACTACAGCCTATTTTCAGCATGGCCATTCTGCCCTGTGAGATCAAACTGCTTTCTTTTCTCCCTGGTGAAAGCCTCTACTCCCACCTTGATGTTTTCAGCATCCCCTGCCGAGTTAGTGACGTTTTTCTCTCTAAGAGCTGGGTGGGGAAAGGTGAACAGTTTAGGAATCTGAAGAATGAGAAAAGCGTCGCTCTGGCTCAGGACAAAGTGCAATCGACTTGTATCACCCATCACGGAGCCCCACACTGGGCTGTTTGTAGGTGAACTGGATATGCTGTATCATGCCTCTGAGCATTTTGAGCCAGGACTTTCACCTCCCCGTGTCATAACCCGAATTCCTCTTGTATTTTGGCACAGCAAACTGAAATATCTCTCTTGCATTGCGCAACCGATTTCCCTAATGGACTGGATTCCACCTCACACCCAAACTTAAGAAAACCTGCTATCAAACGAAGGTGTTACATAGTCTTTTTTTTCCACTTGGCTGGAAATCAAGGTTCCTAGGCAGTTCTTATAGCCAGCCTGCTCGGCTGTACCACAAAGGGCAGAGAGAAGACTTATCTTTGCTCCAGAGAAGCAAAGGATGAAACACTTGAGATATCCTCTGCACTTTCTTCAAACTGCGTAAGTGTCCACTGCCCTCTAAACACCTTCCCGCTTCTAAAAAAGCCTTTTTTATATAAAGGGATTGGTCTAGTCCATCCTTCCCTCCAAAGACAGGTGTTTACAACCATCCCTGTAGGCCCCCTGGCTACCAAAACCTTGCCACGCAAACCAAATACACAGTGTCTCGCAGTCTGAAGACTCCCACCCCCATGTTATTTCTTGCTAAGAGAAGGTCCCTTGCCTCTTGCTGGCTGAGGAAGCACGAACGCACTCAGCAAAACCAGGTCATTGGCACAGCACGCCACCATGCACTGAAGCAGGCCTGCAGTTCATCTTCTAAGTACTCCTTATTTTCAAAGAGCAGTCCATGATCATGTGTTCAAAAACAATGGAAAATTACACCCAGCTATCCAGGGATTTTAGTTAGTTATGAAAACAGATGCTTTTTAACACATTTGATCACATCCTTCCCAAGGACTCTAGATGCAATGGTAGCAAGCAGCACTTTGTTAGTTAAGATGTCCTGGAGAACTGCCACTGTTAAGCAATCTCAGCTGTAGCAGCTGAATTTTTCTGCAGGGAATAACTGCTCCCACCCAAGCCTGCATCCAGAAGATTAAAAAAGTATTCCTTTAGAAAACTTCTCTACCCGCTCCAAAGAAATCCCAAAGTGCTTTGCAGACAAGCTGATGCACAAGCTCAGAGCAGGGGTCAAAGTAAGCTCAGCCATTCCCGGGAAGCCGTGCGGCAACCCTGTAAACAACAAGCCGTAACATCGTGCGCCAGTTCAGGGTAACAAATTAATGTTGGATCCTAGCGAAACCGCAGGTGGCATTTTAAGTAAACACACCATAATTTACTGGATTGCAATCTGGCCACAGTGCCAGGAACAACACCTCCATCCTCGTGCAAAGGGTCTATGCATGCTTGTAACCACAAGTGGATGAGATCTGTTGGTTTTTTGTACAAATTTCCAGAAAAAGAACCCACTAATACCACGTTGTTGCCTGGTTTCATTAACAACTGACGCTTCCTAGAGCTTCTAGGAATTACTCAACCCCTGACTCAGCACGAGCCCAAGGACTTGCCTGGATGATCACAGGAGGTCAGCAGTGTGTGCCCACCACAAACATTTGCTGGCCTGGCTTCTGGCATCCTCTGTAACAGTTTTGCTGACACCTTGTCATGCACTGCAGGGCTGGAAGCCGCAGGATGGGACACCCTTAGGTGCCGAGGCACACGATGGGCTCCCTGGTTGTCACTGGAGCAGGGGGGATAGTGCTGAGAGACGGACTGGGGGCAGCTCTGGTTGCAAGCTCAGCACTGTGCTGGAAGTAGAGGGCCTCCATAAAAGGCTCCACAACATGCCCTAGCCAGAAGTTTGGGCACAGCTGCAATTTTGGCTGCAGAACAGAGAAACTGTAAAAGCCCAGCAAATATATAGTACAGTCATTTCTTTGGAATAAAGCTAGGTATACAAGGCCAAGTGCAATCGTAAATGTTATGTCTCGAAGTATGGAGCAAACAGTGAAGATGTCCAGGGCTGAGCTGTGCATTTGTACACCTGGTGATGCTTGGCTTCAAACCAGCAGCAGCAAGGTAAGCCGAGCAGACCACAGGCCCATGCAACCAGTGGCTCATTTGGCAGGAGAGGAAGGAGGGGAATTTCAAATTCATCCAAAGACAACACTACACAAGCAGGAAATGGAGGGGCTGAGCACAGCGGCAGTAGGTGCTAACACCTCATCCATGGCAAAAGCAGGTGAAGATGGGCAAGATGTGCAAAGACAACAGACATCTGTCACTAAAAGGCCTCTAAAAGCCAAGTAAAACTGGGCTTCTATCTGCCTTTGCTGTCCCCAAAAGCCTTCCCCATGCTCTTCAACACGTGTCTCCTTCCCAAACAAACACAATTTGGTTTTCAGCTATTGGAAAAGGAGGGTGACACTGGGTGTTCTTAGCCAAGTTTGCCACTAAATATCTGATTTGAGAGAGAGTATTTCCCACTGCCAACCTGGCAGCGACCACTGGGAACAAAAGCTTGCAGCAACCCGAGGGCAACGTGACGAGCAGAAAGCAATCAGGGTCTTTGGAAAAACAGCCACTGATGGACAGCATCGACAGAAGGGATGCACCAGCCTGGAGCTAAACACGCACCAGAGGAACGTCAGACTTGAAGGCAATTTCAGGCTCACTCTCGGTTTGGAAGAGTCAGAAGTTGAAACGTTCGTCATTCAAAAAAAAAAAAAAAAAAAAGGCTAGAGTCCTGAGAAATACTGCTGTATTTTCTGTCAAATTCACTGGCGATACCAAGGGGTGGATAACGATGCAACCAAAGGGTGAATCAGACACAGCCAAGAGGCTGAGTTTTGCCAACAGTTTTCCCTGCCAGAGCATCAAAACCTTTATAAAAATAGAAAAAGATAAAGAAGTGCCAGCCTCTTACGCAGCATCAGACAGGCTCAGAGCTGTAAGCTCTACCTGAGCACCAAGCTCAGAGTCAGAACAGGAGCTGCAGAAAGACCTGGGAACAGAATTAGTCCCCACAAAAGCCACCTCTCTCAAGCAGAGGAAATAGTGAAGAAAGGGAATGCTGCAAGGCACACGGTGTCCTTCGGCAAGGGAGCCCTACCACATGGTCATGCACCCAGGATGTTTTCTACCAGCTGTGAAAGAACACGACAGGCTTAAAGCTCCAGGAAAAACCTTTCTTGGACACTGACCATAGTTTTGCTCAAACTTAAGAATAAAGTAATTGAAGAATAAAACCCCCAGAGAATTCTCTCCTCATGAAAAAGGGGGGAGCAATGTTCAGCCCAATGCTCTACAGTATTTGCTGCCTGGGACACTGTCATCAACATTCCCATTGAGGGAAGCTCCTTTTATCCTGTGCAAAATGGAAAACATTTTCTGGAGCATTCCAAAGGTAGGAACAGAGAAATCTGCCCTCAAGTTCATGGTAAACTTGGGCAAATGCCATTGCTCTGCTGGCAGGAAGTCCCCTAAAAGCAAGCCAAAATAGACTGTAAAATGTTTTTGTGTCTGCCTGACAAGCATTTGGGTAATAGCTTTGGCTCCGTGAAAGCTGGTTCTGAACAGAAGGGGAAGTTGGACAATTTCATTGACTAAAAAGCAATGTCCCAAATGGTGGCCTCACAGTCAGCCACGGCTGGAAAAAAAATTGTCTTTCACAGTGCCAACACTATCATCTATCTAAAGACAGGAGAGAGATTTAATTGGTACACAACCTGGGTGCACTTGGGTTTAACAGTGTCTCTGGCACAG